ACACACACACACACACACACACACACACACACACACACACACACACATACACACACACATGCGCACACAATAAAGTGAGGACCATAAAAATGTCCTCACTTTCAAAAAAGACCTCACTTTGTTGGTTAAAAACTAGTTATGGTTCTCACTCTGATGCGGCAACAAAGACACACACAAACACACACACACACACGTACACACACTCACATAAACACACCTACACACACACACACACACACACACAAACACACACATAAACACACAATAATGTGAGGACCGGGAAAATGTCCTCACTTTCCAAAAAAGACCTCACTTTGTTGGTTGAAAAATAGGTATGGTTCTCACTCTGATGCAGCAACAAGGACACCCCCACACACTCACACACACACACACACACACACTCACACAGGCGTCTCAGCGTCTCTCTGTTGCCATGACGCAGGAGGACGGCTCGTACAGCTGGTCGGACGGCTGGCCGGTGTTCTTCACCCAGTGGGGGCCCGGGGAGCCCAGCACTGTGGCGGGCGAGGGCTGCGTGAGCATGCACGCCTCCGCCCGCTTCCACGGGACCTGGAATGACACCGGATGCGAACAGGCCAAAGCCTACATCTGCAAGATCACCTCAGGTACCTTCCACTAGGCCCCGTTCCTCTGGGGACGCCGTCCCGCCCTGAGACTAACCCTCTAGGGTTGTCTCGATACTAAAATTTTCAACTCGATACCGATACTCAGGAAAATACTCGATACCATTTTCGATACCACAAAGATAAAAACAAAGACCCCAAAATTTAACTGAATTTTGACAGGTTAGTGTCTTTGGTTTCAAACTGACCTGTTACTGATGTTATTCTGACTGGTGCCCCACATTAATGACCTTAACCCTGACCCTAACTCTAACCCTAACCCTAACCCTTCATAATTGTGAGAAATAAATATTTTTTGGTTAAACTTGTTTGGACTTATTGTACAAAGCTATTTAACATCCACTATGTGAACATAGTATTATGGATCGAGTTTAATTAAGTGTTTGGAAGATTAATTTCACTATTTTTAAATTAATCTCTATATTGCCATGAGGCATTACGATCTTCCTATTAACGACCTAATCAAAATGGCCGACTTGGATGTTGGCGGAGTTGGATATGTACTTGACTAATGGTAGCATGTTATCATTAGCCATTAGCCGCAGCTAGCAGTACAACGCTAACGTCTTGTTAATGACCATAAACAACGTAAATAAATACATAAATATTTTGAAAAGGAGTATCGCTTTTTTGAGTATCGATACTTTTGACAACCCCCAGAGAAGCCCCCGCCCACCCCCAGCCCCGGTGACGGGAAGTGCCTCCCGTTCTGGGTCCCGTACGGGCGCCACTGCTACGCCGTGTACGACGGGCAGCAGGGCTACTCCTGGCCGGACGCCCGCCACTTCTGCCAGTCGCTGCGCACCGATCTGGCCTCCGTCCACAGCCGGGCCGAGCAGGAGTTCCTCCGGACCCTCAACTACACCGCCAACCACCACGTCTGGATCGGCCTCACCAGGGACCGAAACTGTGAGTGTGCGCCGGACCCCCGGCGGGTCAAAGGTCACCGCCACTTAACTCATTGACTGCCAGAGTTTTTTTTAGCATTTTAACTGAGCCACAGAATAGTTTGTGCTATGACTATGTAAACACCGAACACACCAAAAGAAAGAGTAGACTCTCTTCTTTTATCAGGAAAACAAAATAGTTTCTACCTTATTCCGTTCTTCCTCGACTTGCGTCTCTCCGGCGACATGTTCTCCCCTAGCGAACCGTTACCTTTTTTTTATTTGCCTAAAAATCACGAGGCACACCAGCAACCAAAAATGTCAAATAAATCTGTAGCCGCCTATAGTGACACTATAGTTATTCTTATCTTATGTTAAAAATGTATTTTTAACATATTTTATATTTCTTCTTTCAAATTGCACTAAACATGTCCACTTCAATAAAGAAAAATTATATACAAAATTTAGTCATAAGGAATTATTACATAATTACGCCATCAGTCACCAGTACAGCACAGACACTCAAAAATGGAATATTATTTGCAGATAATTAATTACTTATCAAAAAATCTTTTTAGACCAATTAGGTGAAATATGATGATTTTCTACGGCACACCTGACCATCACTCACGGCACACTAGTGCCGTGAGTGATGATCACAGTGGGCACAGTGGGCAAAAACACTGACCTAGAGGGTCAATTTGTTACTACATACTCTGTCTAGAAGCCTGATATTTACGGACAAGCTTTAGCAGATCGTCCCCCAGCCACTCTCGTTGAAAAACATAAAAGACGTCTATAGACGTCTTTGGCAGCCAATGAGTTAAAAGGGCCGTTTGCTCCCCCAGTCGGCTGGGGCTGGACGGACAAGACCCCCCTGGGGTTCCTGAACTGGGCCCCCGGGGAGCCCAACGCCGCCTTCCACCCCGGGGACGTGGCGGAGGAGAGCTGCGTGGAGATGTACGCCGACGGCCGCTGGAACGACAACAACTGCCTGCAGAAGAGAGGCTTCATCTGCCGCCACCGCCAGTGTAACCACCCCCCCACACCCCCACCCACCTCACCCCCCCCCACCCCCACCCACCTCACCCCGCCTCCGGTGGTTTAAACCGTTTACCTCTCCGTCTTTCAGATTACACAACAGATGACGGCAAGAACCCCATTTTCCCCACCGACGCTCCAGGCACCAGTACGTTTTATTTTATTTTTTTATTCATGTTTTTATTCATGTGACAAGGTCAAGTACAAACAATGAAAATAATGAAAATAAGGATTTTTCAAGCTGGAGGTTTATTCCCTGTGTCCGTTACAGACGGGGGGCTGGTGGCCGGAGCGGTCATCGGGGCGTTCCTGTGCGCCGGACTCATAGCGGGACTGCTGTACTTCGCCTTCAGAGGGAGAGGATACAAGCTGAGCGGCCTGAGCCTGCCCACCAGGGCCGGCGCCAACATAGAAGTGGTGAGTCATTCTCCGGCTGAGTCTTTCTGAGTCTTTCTGCCTCTGAGCTGTTTTGCTCTGTCGCAGCCTGCCTTCAGCAACCCAAACTTCCCCGGCCAATCGGACACATGAGCTCCGCCGGACGCCTGGATGTAACCAATCATGTAGCTGCAAAAATCTTTTTTAGAGGATTATCCAACCTTGTATTTACTGTAATGCCATGTAGAAATCTGCCGTCAGTCCCAAAGATGTGCTGCAGCTTTTTCTGCCGCGTTAACAGGTGAAATTCTTGTTTTTCCAATAAAAGAATCAACGACAGCTGCTCAGTTTCCAGTGTTTATTCATCTTCGTGCACAGCAACAGTTTTGTCTTTTTCAATACAAATTTCACAAAATGGAAAAAAAAAAAAAAATTTCAGGTTATTTGGACAGTTTTTGGGAAGAATTTCTGGATGAAGCACCAGCTGGTGACGACGAAGACAAAGAGCCCAGCGGCACCTGAAGGCCTCGTCTGAAACTCATCTCTAAAGCAGGCAGCGGTTTACTCGCTCCCGCCGGAAAAACATCACCACCCACGTGAGAACACAAAGTCAGGATCACTTCTGATCCTCATTCAGCCCTTTCATCGTAACTGAAGTAAAAAAAGAAGCTCAGTCTAACCCCCCCCCCCGCTTCCCCCTGTGGATAAACCAGAACCTGTGAGCTCCCCGGGAAAACCCGCCTCAACACACACAAAACCAAAATGGCGTCATTCAGGAAACCAGGTCTTGGCCGTTTTTTTTCCTTTGAACGTTTTGCAGCTCAACCGAAGTGAAGGAAACCTTCGTCTACTAGAATCCAGCAGGAAAGGCCGCTGTGATTCAAACTCAAACTGACAAATATGGCTAAAGTTTAGCGCTCCCACCGGGGAAACCTTCGTCCCCTCTGGTGTCTGGAAGCACTTTCAGGCACATCTTTGGTGAAGAGACATCGTCCGTTCAGGCTGCAAACAGACCCTCTGACAGAGGTAAAGGGGAAGAGAAGGCCGCAGATGTTTTTATCTGGTAGAGATCTGTTAGAGATCTGTTAGAGATCGATGTTTTGATATGGGAGGAGATTCATCCCGGGTGCTGTTGTGAAACCAATATGGCCACAACCTTATGAGAGGAACAAAAAGAGATCGAAACAAGTCAAGTTTAGACTAAACTGATGATTCTTTCTCAGTGGATTTAGGTTCCAGGTTAGGTTTAAGACAGGAGTCCAGCCAAAGGATCTCTTCCCGGTCAGTGTGGATGGACCAGCCAGCAGAACCTGCTTCATTCCTTCACTTTACAGATTTACTACATAAGGACAGAAGCAACAGCCTCCTGCTGGATCACACACAAATAAATAAGACACTGCTTTGTTCTGACAAGAAAAAAAAAAAAAAAGAGTTAAGACCAGACGCCTGCATAGGGCCCCCCCCCCCCTCGGACCGTGGTCTGAACGTGTGGACAGCGTTGGCCATTATTGCACGTTAACAACTGAAAGTACACCTTCCAAAAGGATGAGATCAAATAAATAAATTAAAGGATGATTTAATATTACAGACGTCCTCATATTTCCGCCGCAGACTATTCCCCATAATGACTCGTGAAAAGGTAAAAATCGGACTCCGGAAGGCAGCTGAGACGATTTCAACCCGCGTGGCACAAACCAGTGAATAAGTAGAAAAAAAATTAAAGCTCTGAGCTTAAAAAGAGAGAATCCCAGAGTCGAATCCAACCAATGCTTAAGACTGAAACACAGAAACTTTAGATCTTAAGAGAATTTAAGTAAAATCAACAAGCAACAACTGCACTTTTACGGGTCTAAATCTAATTTAAGTGCCACGTTTGCCTGATTACCAACTAATCTGAGCTCATGTTACGAAAACAGAAGTCGAGATAAGAAGAAGAATAAATAAAATCTGTGCCCATGGACGTGACTCCAGCTCCTCCATAACGGCACTTCATGCCAGCATTCGATGTCCTCCCTTTGTTTTCTGTTTACGGCCAGTCTTTGAACCCCGAACGCGGCGGGTTATTTCATGATATAAAAAAAACAAACAAAAAGAGCGAGGTGGAGTGTTTGGATGGAGGCTGAACCGGCTGGTTCAAAGGGGCGCGCTGGTATCCGGGGGTCATACCTTCGGACAGTCCAGCCGGAGCCAGTGGACGCCCTGCCGGACGTACCGGACCAGGAAGCTCATGCTGGACGTGAGGCCCAGCGGACCCACGGCGCCGTCCAGCTCCGCCAGTACACCTGCAGAAACATGCAGAAACTCTTGAAGACCCCCCTCTTCAAAGAGCATCTCCTATCCTAACCCTAACCCGTACCTCTACCCCCCACAGC